AAGAGCATAACTGGTGACTGTGCTATGTAATTGTCTGGATGTTGCTTGATAGGAAAGTGACCTTTCTATGGTAACAATTACTTCCGAAGAAGAATGTATGAAATCATTTGGCTAAGAGACATCCCACAAGTGCAGCATTGCTGTTAAAAAAAAAAAATTATCACAAATTATCGAACACCCACAGACATTTTGCATTTGTTTGTCAACTACACTTTCTTCAGCCACACACAGCAGGACATCATACACTGTATTGTTGAAGTGAGAACATAACAGGCGAGCATTTTAAAAATAAAACTACAAAGATCATCCTGTGAAATCTTGCTAAAGGAGGATGAGCTTTGTGACTTCAAAAGACAAACTCAGCCTGTTACAGTCAGAATGCCTCTGGGTAAGCAGCTCAGCTACCTTCAGCTGGGACTGACAGATAGGTGCCTTCAGGGGATTCAAAGTTGCACAGTACTTCTGGCCACATCATTGGGAGTGAACCCAGGTGCAACCCTTTTGTCTCCAGCAGAAGACTCTGGGTGTAGCTACACCTGGGTGAGTGCCTCTGATTTGACTATGGTGTCTCGTTCAATTGTGTCATTTTGTGCAGCTTTGCAGGACACTTTGACAAAAGTTCTCATTTCTACCAGAATTTCAGCACATGCACACAGCAATTAGATACAGCATACAATTAGATGTATGGTGTATACAGATATAGAACACGGAGGAAGAAACTGGATATTTATATACAGATATTTATAAATAGGGATAAAAATGATTAGACTTTTTTCTTCATTATGCTTTAAACCTTACTTTTTTAAGTCAAAGTACATAATTTGCAATATACTTTATTTACAACCTTCTTTTTAATGCACAGAGTGATATGAATGTTTTGAATGCAAGTCAGTTTTGGGACAACTGTAATTTGATTTTACTTAAATCAGATTTTCCTTAAGCTGTCTTCGGACATTTCTGAATAGTTTTTGCTGATATATTGTACCTTGTGGGTTAAATGGCCTGGCGCATTGCAAAAACACTACTTACAATATAGCAGCAAGACAACAGAAAAAACTAAAACAAAAGAGATGTGCCATGAATCACTGTGTATTTTTTCAGTCAGGTTTCAGTTTAGTTCTATTCCTATAATGATTCTTACAGCACAAACATTCCTGCTTCGCTCTTAATTTTCTTACAATCAAACACAAATATATTTGCCATCTTGCATAAACTATGCGAAGTAAGATTTATGTAGGATGATAAAAATAATCCTTTGTTTAAATAAAAATCCAAAAATAAACAATAAAACAATAGGATACATGATCCCTGTTACAGCTATTTGGCAAGACAAGCCGTCCCATTAGCAAAGTTTCCTGAACAGGCATGTCATGTATCTCATGTTTGTTTGTTTTTTAAAACAGCAACACAGCAGCAGCCATTGGCTCTGTTGAGAAGTAAATCCTTTTTGTCTAGAAAATTATACTTAAAATCATTGCACATACACAATATTTTTATTTGGGTACAATATGTGTCCACCAGGTGGTACTGCATGCTATGTTAAAAGGCATTCAATTTGATCGACAAAATTAACCAAACATATCTTTTTCAGATGTGCTTGCATTGACTAAGTAAAGAAGAATTTTAAGAGCAATTTAATATAAATATATTTCTGGTTAGCTAACAATTTCCAAAAAGATCTGTCTTAGGTTATCATCAGGTTTGAGACCAAATACTTATGTGCTTTGCATATGAAACAGATATTAATGATGAAAGGTTTCATGAAAGACTTAACCATATGATGAAAGGAATACATCTGCTATCCCTTCAAAAAAAAGTAGAAAATGCCTACACTTTTCACTTTACATAACCTAAAACAAACCACAACAGGAAACCACACTCCTAAACTTGAAAGTAAAGAGCTGTATAATTGAAGTGTGCTTTTGCAATTGTAATTTTCTTTCAGGGAATTTGTAATGGTACATTTAAAAAAGTGACTAAAAACTATTACTCTGTAGAATATTAAAATGGCGAACCATAGAACATTTTCATGAAAGTAAGTAATATGAAATTAGCTTTATACATTTTTGATAAGTTCAATGAAGCGAGTTATTTTTAAAAGCTCATTTCATGAGAGTATTTAAAGTCTAACCCCTTGCAGAGCTTTGCATGTTATGCATGAGACGATCTGTACAGAATATTTACAATTTGAAAGTAGAATAGGATGAATAAATAAATATATTTTTCGAATTGGAATTATTTGTTAATGCTTTCCTGTTATGTTGTGCTACTGCTGGTTTTCATCTGGGACTAGGGACTAGGAATTTTAGGATTTTCAACTCATAACTGGTAGGTTGAGGTCTTAGATTTCAGACAGTGAATGACATGTCATTCAAATTTCTTCAGTCAAACCCCCAGCTGCATAAATGGGTACAAATGTACATTGTCTTAGATAAAAGCAAAACCCAAATAATAATGTTCATGGCAATGTCCCACAGTGAGTTTGCTGTAGTGACTTCATATTCCTTACTATCAGGAAGAGTACAATGCATGTACAATGTATGTGTAACTTTACATTTCGTGTAGGGGCAAGTTATCTCATATTTTTTTTGAATAATTTTAGATAATTTAGCGCCTATATATTTAGAGTGATCTTAGTCGTGAAGTGCAGACTGTTCTACAAATCATACAACTGTAGTTTGAGTACAGAATCTTTTGTTCCATGGTTACACATATCTGTGTCGTGAGGTTATCGATGGAGTAATAGAATTAGCTCTTAAAATTGCTTTTCGGTATCAGAAGGTTAGCAGCATTAACGGAAGTCAATCAAATATTATTTACTACGTCAACACTACATAGAACATTAATTTTTACAGTTTATGAGCAGAATACATAAAACAATCTGGAGTATGAGATGTTCTTTTGGATTTGTGAAAAACTGTTAACGCGACCAACAGTCTCATAAATAGGGTAACCTTATGTATATCAATGAATAAATGCAATCCTACCCCTTCACTTCTGCTTGTAAAATGAAAATGATGTCATGGGGACAAGCGTATAGAATGTGAAATAAACGATAACTTTTAAAGAATGCACTTCCAGATGTTTTAAAATGCATACTTTGTGTGCAGGCATTAATACGATTATGTTAAAAGGGGAAGATATTAACAAAGAGGTTCCAGCCCACATTCGCAGGTTTAAAGCGGTTTATATTAGCATACCTATTGTGGTGTAGGAGTGCGGTGACAGAGAAAGTACTTTCCGTTTAAATGGATCTGAACTGAGTTGAAATTTCTTTTGTGTTGCTGAAGCTCGCTCCCATCCCCCACTCCGTTTCCCCTGCACGTCGACAAAGGGCAGATTGTCTTTAAGATGCGGCACCCCCTGGAAAATCTGCAATCAGCACGTCCTCAGGGGATATTTCTTCTTTTCCTCCAAAATCATAAGATGGCAAAGCATCAAAATTCTAACACGTTACAGGGAAAAATTAAGATAACTGATTTTAATATTTTCACAATTTACACTGAAAGGTAGTATTTGTAAAATAAGCCTTTATCTGAATTAGATGGGAACCATCACGTTAAAATTTCGATCATACATCTGCATGGGTCGCACTGAAGATTACCTAAAGCTTGGCATATATACAGTCGTGCTGCAACCTACATATTATGTAAACATCAGACTTTACCCCCGAATCTCCACTGAAAAACAATGACAAGAGAAGTGGTTAGGCAACTCCACGTTTAAAATGTGTTCTGCGGTTTCTGCTCATGTTTTGGTGTTCCTGAAAGATCAGATAATTTGCAAACTTTGTAGTCAGCTGTCAGTGTAAACATCCCAAGGAAATGAGCACTGTTTGAAATCCACAATTACCTGTAACTTAGCACAGGCAACTTAATCAGGCGGAACTTGTTTTTTTTCTGGTCAGCTTGTGGGAAGCACTCTTATGCTGATATTTCGAGCTTTTCTGATTTTCTGTTATATAGGCAAATCAGTGTTTCAGTTGTATTATGTATATCACACCTAAAATTCAGAACATGAGCTCAGGCTAGGACGCTACATGTTAGGGCATGCTCTGGGTGGGATCATTAGCACCCGGCAGCTCGCTGATTTTGTATATTAATTACAGAAGACTTGTTTGGCGATAATTTGCAAAATAGTTGCAACTAGACTAGATGACACTTGTTAAAGGTTGTTTCTCGTAGTAATTCGCATGAATAAAGAAACCCAGTTTAAAAATGTAAAGTGAAACTTCCAGCATCTTAAGAAGCCTCGAGAACGCGGTGAGAGGCGAATTAGCACATTCACAGCGATTATGGATGGTTAATTGGTAGTTAAAAAGCATAACTAAAAACGTTATCAGTGTCTATAACCAACTATGAGAAAGAAAGCGCCTTGCAAATCATTAGTCGACGCTGGCTAAACATGACAATTGTACGTATTTGGCATACAACTCCTTATGTTTTATTGTCTGCAGTTCTTAGAATCATGTTTTGTGATGTATGCATCGATACATTCAGATCTGAATAACTGCAACACAATGTTTACCTGTTATATATAGTAATTTAAGTTTATTTAGCTTATTTAGTAGCTTAAAAAGGTACGTTTAACAGAAAGGCGAAGGAGGGACAAACCGTTGGCACGATTTCTAACTCTGTCACTAGTAGAACTGCCATGTGGTGTCTGCTAAATACTTCAGATAAGAACAGAGAGGGTTAGCGAAATAAACGAATTACAGTTTTGGATAAAGCCCGAAATGTTGTGTTGCATTAATTTGGAAATAAATCATCTTACGTTTTATGTATTCAACAAGACTACAACCTCTGTGTTGCACATTACTACAAAACGATGGGTACAAACGAGCGTCTTTCGGGTTTTATTGTTTGGTAAGACAACAAAGAGAGGAGTTTGCCTAAGAGGTCAAGCGCTCTGGCCCCACCCCCACAGCACTGTGTCCAGCCAATCAGCTGAGGCGGTGCAAATACAGGCAGCGCCGCACCGGCCCTTACCAGCCCGTGACGTCACCGGCACATATTCCCCAGTAGTGCCGTCTGGTTGCAGCAAGTCAGACAGAAAACGGAAAAGAGCGGAGAGAGCCGGGGAGGGGCTCCGTTAAGGAATATTGCCATCGCCGGCATTCCAGCAATCTAGAACTACGGTGTCCGCTTTTTGTCCGTCCCGTAGAGTTTTGTTTTTGAGGAGCCGGTTTCCGAGAGCGTGTCGATTTGGCCGGATTGCACTGATCGCTGACTGCAAAGCAAGAAACACTGATTTTGCACCGCTGGCTTGAAACCAGTCCCGTCCCCCCCTCCCCTTTCTCTCTCTCCCTTACCAGTCCTACCCTCCTTCCTTAGTTTTTTTTTCCCTTTGTCTGATCTTCCTGATCCCTGGCTACAGCAGGACTGCGAAATATTAAAGATGCCTAGTTCGCTTTTTGCCGACATGGAAAGGACCGGGAGCAGTCAAGGGGACACTCTAGATGACCAAAGAGCCCTGCAATTAGCACTGGACCAGCTTTCTTTGCTCGGTTTGGACAACGATGACAGTTCCATTTACGACAACGAGCCAAGGAAAAAGAGTGTGAACATGACCGAGTGTGTCCCCGTCCCCAGCTCGGAGCATGTTGCCGAAATTGTTGGCAGACAAGGTGAGCATTCTGTCACTGTCGCCACTTTAAAAAATTTTCATTGTCTTTAAGGCTCAGGCACACACTGACATGTGGCATGACACTGCAGCTGGGAATCGAGGTTGAATCGGTTGATGAATCGTAGGCAGGAATCAGTAGCTTCTCGCCGCACTGCAACTAACCCGTCCTCAGCTCAGCAGACAAAGAGAAGTGTAGAGACAGGGGTTAGCTACTTACAGAATAGCTCTGCCGAAGACAGTGTGGCACAAAAGCCATCGAATCGGGAGATATTCTTATATCCGAATGAATAATTTTCGACCACATAATTATATGTGTAGTGGTATTTAGTAGTTGCTGGAGTGCTTTCCTAGCACAACAAAGCCCCGAACTACAAAAACATCAATCGTGTATGCTTAAAGATACAGTATGCATTTTTTTTCCACTCGGGCAATTCTGTGTCTTCGGTTATCAAGTTAAAAAACCTTTAGACCTCTTTTAAAATAATATTGACGCCAGAATGTTTATTATCGGGGCTTAGACTGTAAGCTTCCTTGTTCATAGTTTTGAGCTTTTTAATAGCAAGTGTGGTAGCTGCAACGCTTACCTGATCTCCTCCCTTTGCTATTTTTGGGATAGCAGCACATGAATTGAATTGCTGTATGTCAGGATGCAGAGACATGTGGCATTAATTTACTGCAAATAAGAGGGAATTTGAAAGCATACATTCAGAATTTCTATCTGCACGAGTACTACAGACACTAGATATATATTTTGGTATGTGGGGGAAAGAAATCAGTCTTTATTTTCTCTTTAAATCATAGGTTGTAAAATCAAAGCTCTGCGAGCCAAGACCAACACCTACATAAAGACTCCAGTGCGTGGGGAGGAGCCAGTCTTTGTTGTGACCGGCAGAAGGGAAGATGTAGCAATGGCTAGGAGGGAGATCATCTCAGCCGCGGAGCATTTCTCAATGATCCGAGCCTCCAGGAACAAAAACACCAGCCTGAATGGGAGTGGCACGGTGCCGGGGCCACCCAACCTGCCCGGTCAGACCACCATCCAGGTGCGGGTGCCCTACCGGGTGGTGGGGCTGGTGGTGGGGCCCAAGGGAGCCACCATCAAGCGCATCCAGCAGCAGACGCACACCTACATCGTCACGCCCAGCCGGGACAAGGAGCCGGTCTTCGAGGTGACGGGCATGCCGGAGAACGTGGACCGCGCCAGGGAGGAGATCGAGGCGCACATTGCCATGCGCACCGGGGGGCTCATAGAGCTGACTGACGAGAACGACTTCCACGCCAACGGCACAGACGTGGGCTTTGACCTCCACGGACCCGGAAGCCTGTGGAGCAAGCCCACCTCCAGCATGACCCCCACCGCCGGGCGTAAGCCCTTCTCCAACTACCGCAATGACAGCTCCAGCTCACTGGGCAGTGCCTCCACAGACTCCTACTTCGGGAACAACAGTAGCTCCAGGCTGGCGGATTACAGCCCGCCCAGCCCGGCCCTGAGCTACACCGCCTCCAACAACGGCAACAACAACAACAACGTCAACATCAACGTGAACGGCAATGGATTTGTCTACGGGAGTGACGTGATTTCCCCCGATTGCACTGATCTCGCCTTCGAGTCCCCCCCTGGGTTCGACCCCGCGCCCGCTCCCCCCGGCTCCACCCTGATCTGGTCGCAGTACGAGCGCGGAGGCGTGGCCCCTTCCACTGCCACCACCACGATTTTTCCTGCCAGTGCTTCCACGAATGCCAATGGGATCCTAGCGAACCAGAGGAGAGCCAATGGGGTGGGCTGCACCGCCCAGCCCCGGTTGTCCCCGCCGCTGCACCACGTGACCGGGGTGGCCGAGCACCCCCTGGCCCGCAGGGTCCGCAGTGACCCCGGAGGGGGCACCCTCACTTTCCCTGGCTACTCCAGCAATGGGCTTTCCAATGGACTCGTCTCCCTCTCCGGCTCCCACCTCCCGGGGGTGCCGTCTGATTCCTCCGCCTCCTCTTCCTCCAGCTCCTCTTCCAGCTCCTCCTCCTCTTCGTCAGGGGCCGGGAGGAAGGGCAGCCGGGATTGCTCCGTGTGCTTCGAGAGTGAGGTGATCGCGGCCCTGGTGCCCTGCGGCCACAACTTGTTCTGCATGGAGTGTGCCAATCGGATCTGTGAAAAAAACGAGCCCAAATGCCCTGTCTGTCACGCTGCAGTTACTCAGGCTATACGTATATTTTCATAAGGTGTTCCAGCTCCACAAAGCCGTAACAGCATTGAAAAAAAAACTTTGTTGTACTGCATTAAAAATAATAGCCAAGATTATATATAAAGCTGCAGTATCCCATTAAAAGGGACATCCTTCAGGGCTCTGTTGCCATTGTTTGTAATGTACTGTAGCTTGGGGAAATATTTTTACCATCTAATGCATGTTCTAATTAATGAAGAATAGTAAATAATAGTTCTAGTGAATTTTACAATGTATTTATAAAGTTCCAAAATCAGAGAAGCCGTAAGTGAGGTACTTACGCCATGTAATGTACAGACTATAAGGACAGCAGGCCTGCTGGTATCACAAGCAGCAGAGTTAACGGTGGGGTACTTTTGAGTGCTTTGTAAAAACATTTATATCCAAAAGGAAAACAATTCCTGTGGAAAATATTTCTAAATGAAAAAAGATACTGCAGCTTTAGTTGGAAAAGGAGGAAAAAAAGCAACAACATATCTTATGTATAGATGAAAAATTCCACAAGTTTAAACTTTTAAAGATTAATGACATTAATACAGATTGAAGTATTTTATTCTTTTTTGACTTGAAAGATTATATTTCGTATTGCAAAGATGTTTACAAGTATTTTAATTTAAGTTCAGTGAACTTTTTGTAGCTGGGTTAAATTTTTTTTTTATTTTTTAGTATGGCCATTCGGCAAAGAGCACTGTATTATTTTAATATCACACAGCTGTGGATGGAACTACAAACCACAAGATGTGTATTGCATTAAACAGTATTCTGTTGGGTTGAAGGTTTTATAGGTTCAGCAAAAAAGTCTTTTAAATCTGCTTCACCCAGCATATTTTTTATTCAGTGATATAAAGCATATTTTATTCTATATTATTACAAAAATGAAAATGTATAAATCTTAGTAAGTCAAACAAAAAGGAACTGTTTATGCTTTCTAAAAATTTGTATAAATTAGATTCTGGTGGAGATTACAGAGTTCTGTTGCACCACTATAGTTTTAGTAGTTCTATTTTAATACATTTGTTTGCCTCTTGTTTCTGTATATGTAGGTGAAGTTATTTGAGCGTAAATGTACTTTATTGAGCAAAGTTTTTAAAAAACAAAGTATATTTTATTTTATGATAAAGGGCCTTTAACCTCATGGTCAAATACTAATATTATATTTGCTGAAACAAGATTTGAAATTGTATCAAGAGTTTTATTTTTCTGACATTTAAAGTTCTACATAATAAAGGTAAAACTTAAGTAATGGTGCTACTTCATGTTTTTTTAAGTATTTCTATATAAATACAATAAAAATGGTACATGAAACAAAGTTGTGTCTTCTAATTATTAAATAATGTTTTATTGCAAAGCATGCTCAATGTAATTCAGCATATGGTAATTTTAAATAGTGCAGAACAGTCTCTTATTTCGGACGGAAGCAGTATGTAGCAACCAAACATATCTGCATGCCTAAAGTGAGTGCAGTAGGATGCCGTTTATTCAGAGTTTAGGACTTCCTGAAACTCTTTGTTGAATCCTGGGTGATGGACAATTGCATGTCTTTCTCAGGGGAGATATACTACAAGGGACTTGGCTAGAAACCCTTTTGTGAATTCTTCTAAATAATTTCCCATTCCTTAAAATACCAGGATCCCCCAAGCTCGGTGCATTTTCTTTTCTTTTCACAGTAAATATACTGTTTTGCATCAAGTGGATAGTGAGCTGTAAGAAGGTATATTCTTGTAATGACAATCATATATGAATACCTTTAACCACGTCTGTAAATGTGTGGCATGTACCCTTCCATTGTAAGAGTGTCTTTATGAAGGCCCTTCAAATATAAGAACAAGAAATTCTTTAACAGCTACAGCTACGACACGGGAGAGACCAGCTTTATATAGAAATGACTTATTAGGACGGAAACATTTAGTTTTTTTCTTCTCTACCTCACATGACCTCTCCTCATTTTACAATGTAGTTGGTTTCTGGAGGGTAGCCAGAGAGCATGACAATCTAACTGTATTCCAACAAACAGAGCTCTGTGTAATTTAAAGCAAAGCATTTTTAAAATTTGACAACGGCTCTTGCAGTTGCATCGGTACATCGATGCATCCTTTGATGAATGTTTTTAAAAAGTTTATAAAGTGCAAGAATTTTTGCAGTTAGTGGCATGCATAAAGTGAATGAAGTGGCAGAGATTTAAAACAGTAATAAGGGTATAGAGCTTTGAAGCTGTGAAAGTGATGCTGCAAAATGATTCCTGACCTAGGCTTTCTGTCTATTGCAATACTGAACTTTACACACCTCTACAGTAAATACAATATTACTTTACAAAAAGCAAAACAAAACACACAGTGTTTCATTGTTTTTATATTGTGTTAATATTTTTTTAAAAAGTTTAATAAAAAGGCCTCACTGCTTTTCATGGGTAGTGCATAACCCTTAAGCAAAGAGGCAGACAAAGGAAACTGCAGTTTTTTTTCCACGTATATCCCGTGTGTGATTACATCTTCTACATAGATAAGCTTTTCTCTTTTTCCATCTTTTCTTGGTAAGTAACCACCAATCGAATGTGATGTGGTTTTCTTGGAGAGTTTGTGGAATATAAACATATGTTGCACAGCAAGATAGTAAATATAGAAAAAAATAACTTAATGATAAGGTTAAAATTTAAAATACTCAAAAGCAGGCTTCAGAAATTGGCCTCATAAACCATACTATTAGGAAACGATTCCAGGGTTTAAAAAAAAGAGCTGACAAGTATTTTATATAAACACAAAACACATGCTTTCTCGGTTGCTAAAGTTACAACTTTTTCATAGAAATAAAATGCATATTAGTTTAAATACTTTTTTCATACAAGTCTTACCTGATATGTTTTGGCTTGTATTGTGTCCTGATTTTACCTTTAACTTTCAGTGTCTTGGAAAAGCTCCCACTAAATTATTTTGTTAAGTTCCAGATCACAGGTACATGGATTTAATTATGTTTGCAAGGAGGTGTTCTTCAAATCGTGTCCAGAATATAAAACTAAATATATATATCCTTGATTCTGTAATCTCTGGAATAATTCTATTGTTTTATTATGCAAAATAAAAATCATATTCTTAACATTTAGTTTTGAATAATACGCAAAAGAAACACAAATATAAAAAAATCTCTACCTCTAGAGATAGTGACAGTATAATTCCTAAATTAATCTAATTAGCCATTATTAGAAGGCCATTCATTCCTGGTAACAATTCTCAGTTAATTATTCATTATTTACTAATTGTTCATCAATAAAGTAGTAAAAGCATTCATTGGCAATTGTGCCGAAACAGTTTGAAAACTGGGACTGTTCTTGCATTGTCTGACTTTTCATTTTTGAGACTAATTATGCCAGGTGACTCTTTACCCTTTACTGTCCATACTTTCTGCACACTGCAACCCCAGTCCTTGAAAAGGGTATATTTAACCTAAATGTTGAAGTAATGATGTCATACAACAGTTAGCAGGTTAACCGTATTATTGATTTTTAAAATCCATCTTAAACTATTTGGCTCTGAACATCACTGTATTCCAGACTGATACCAAAAGAAATGCGCTATATTATGAAGTAGTTCAGGTGGGTAGCTGCGTCAGCATGCGTAGGCTGTAAAGGAACAAGTAATAGGTTTATTTCATGCTGAAAACACAAAATTTACACCTGAAGAAAGCCCCAAAGCTGAAACGCTGTTTTCTTTCTTCTCTTTTCAGCATGGAATAAACCTACTACTTGTTCCTTTACTGTCCTATATTATGTTTGCCACCGCATTGACTTCACCTAAAATAGGTCTGCCACATAACGGCAATACACAGCTACAATACAGTAGTTTCAAAGTGGGATGTGCTGAACACGACTTCCTCAAGCAATATTTTTACAAATATTTCATAATTATTTATTTTAAACATTATTTACTGTAAAATTGACTACTGCTTCTTTTTGCAGAGACAGGGAGTTTTGTCAGGAGCATTGCACAGTACTTTTGCAATCACCTGCTTAGTATTCAAAAAAATATGAATAGGATATTACTCATTGCAACACTCTTTAGAAGTGATATCTTGTTCCTGGTGGTCAGTAAACAAAAATGGCCTATAATTAACTTGTGTTGATGTGGGTCGAAGTATCTAGACATAAGAGGGTTTCTTTGTATTTTCCAGTTAGGAATATGGCCTTTTTAATGCTATTTAAAGCATAAAGGACAATGATTCACAAAATATGGTCAATTTTTCCCCTATTTGTATACTGCAGAACACCATGACTTTGCCTTTCATGTTTGGTAGCTGATTTTAGCAAACGAAATGAAAAGTTGAAATCAGACTCCAATCAAAGGAGAGCCTCTCCTACTCTTCTTTGATTTTGGAATTGGGCACATAGACTATTGTTCATTTTTTATTTTTACCTTTAGGATTGTAGCTTTATGTCACCTGGCAGCAGCTTTTGATTGCCTCTTACGCTGATAACCTGCTAAGTGAGTAACAGCCTCTATTTGCTAGCTTACGTCATTCATGACAGCACACAAGACTTAACTGTTTGTCAAAGACCTTCAGGATCTGAAAATTAAGACAATGTGTATCCGCAGTAATGAACAGAGTTTTATGAATGACTTAATTTGACAGGAATTGGACATCAGACATATTTTAAATATCTGAATTTGATAAGGATCTTTGTGCAAGAAGAATAGTCATGCTTCACAAGGC